CTTTCAAATCTTTCAATTCTGGAATATTATGAGGAAACCTCCCTAAAAGCAGTACATGCTCAATCTGCTCTGCTCTCCCGAATCAAGACTGTACTTTGACCTACAAGGGCCAAAAAACAGTTTGTAAACAAGTTAGTTTGGAATTATTTGTATGTGAATCTTCTCAGTCATGCAAATCTTTTTATCTCATTGTTTGCGTTTCTTTTTATTTCATTGGAATGCCATTTCTGTTGCACACTTACTTGCATTTTCATTTAGGAAGCCAGTTTCTCTAAAATTTATAAAAACATGTTTTGATCCTCTTAAATTGGACAAATTTAGATGCCTTTGATTTTCTGCAATGTTAATAAGAGTAAGCAATACTTCACAGTGAGTGTACAGTAACTGTGTTTCAAAGTGAATTTTACTTCCCCCCAATACCACAGCTCACTCTTTGGGGCTCTTTGGTGAACTCGATCAGTGTCCCTTTTACCTTGCCCAAACTAAAGCTAATTACTTTAACAGCATTTTGCCAGCAAGCCCACTGAGCGTGTGAAAGTGGTTATAATGCAAAGTCTGATATGTTTCATCAAATGTTCTATCTTTGAACAGCTTCATAAAATACTGTACAGAATCGTTTTTGTTCCAAAAAATGACATCACTTGAGGCACAGCTGTAATCATGTTTCCTAGTAACAAATTCAAACTATGTGCTGTGCGTGGCACGAAAAACGCTCCTGGGTTTTCAGCTAGAAGTGCCATTCTCACAGGCTTGGCCACGGGGGCCTGAACAGCGTCAGTCACAGAGCGATGTTGAGGCTTTCAGGTGGCACTGAGCCAGCACTGAGCATCACAGTTTGAGTGACAGAGATGCATAAGGTTCTCTTACAAATTTATTGTTTCGTACAATTGTGACATTCAGAGCCCAGTAAAGTCTGGGGCAGGGGACAGGAGCATGTTTAACCTAACGTAAGCCAGTAAAGGTTAAGGCCGTCTCTAGGTCCGCATTTGATGTTGGTAGACGACTTGGCTTCAAACTCTCTGTGCCTCCATCTCCATGCATGCAAATTCTCATTTTTCAAGTTTAGGTAAACATGGAACCTCTTCCATGAAGTCTTCCCTGATAGTGCCCTCATCCTCTCTCTCTTACCCTAGCTAGAACACCCCCCTTCCTCTGATGTTGAAAGCACTTGGCATGACTGTCTCTTGGGATCCCACAGGACAGAGGCACTGCAGAGTACACCGTGACATGCTTAAGGGTTAAAAGCTTGGGACCTGGATCCAGACCTACCGGACTTTGAATCCTAGCTGTCTTCCTTACCATTTTTGAGACCTGTGCTTCAGTACCTTCACCTGCAAATGGAAGTAAATAATAACACACATCCCCTACAACTTGTCATGAGGCTTAAGTGAGCAAAGCGTTTAAAGTGCTATTCCTGATGCCTGGGCATGGGGAAAGCTCAATCAATGCTGGTGGTGATCAGACTCACCGTATCTTCCCTCACACTTGAGTTCACTGCCTGCATGTTTTTATCCTTCCTATAACTCCACACATTCCTTTAGGTCATGGCCAAGATAGAATTTTAATCATACAGAGAGTCTTGAAAATCATGAGCGTTCAAGAAGTGTTTCTCAAATCAAATAGTCCAGGGCCCCCAATACAGCACCCTTCCCAGACCTATTCTTCCTCTTCTCCAGGGTCATGAGCTGAATTTCTCCCTCTGCTCTATTCATATGTTGAAGTCTTAATGCCCTGGTATCTCAGAATGGGACTATCTTTGGAAATAGAGCCTTTAATGAGGTAACCAAGGTAAAATGAGGTCCTATGAATGGACCCTAATCCAATGTGACTGGTGTCCTTAGGAGATTATGACACAGACTCACAGAGGAAAGACCATGTGGAGACACAGGGAGAAGACAGCCATCTAGAAGCCAAGGAGAGAGATCTTAGAAGACACGAACCCTGCCGACACCTAGATCTTGGACTTCCGGCCTCCAGAATTGTAAGAAAATAAATGTCGGTGGTTTCAGCCACCTGGTCCGTGGTATCGCGTATGGCAGCCCTAGCGAGTGAACACACTCAGCTACCCTATGGGCTCTCATCACGAAAACGCTTCCCCCTTCCACCTGAATGCCTTCAATACTTTGCCGCACCCCTGCTTCCCTAATTGTGCCCAGGTGTCAGGATTGTGTGTAAATGGTCCTTTTCCTGTGGGAGTTTAAAAAAGTATCTTAAATGGATTTCCGTGCCCTTAGCCCAGTGGTTTTCAAAGCATCTTCCGTGAGAGGATCATTGGTGCTGTAGAGAAAGGAGGGTCCGAGGCCAGCGCCATCTGGGAGAGGTGGCGTTAATCCAGGCTGATCAAGTTCTGCAGGACCCCTCAGAGCACTGCCAATCTTCAGGGGGGAATGAACGTGATGCATCCCCCAAATTTACTTGACCGTGGGACCCTCCTCTCATTGAGCATTGATCCAGTCTAATAGTGAGTGCTTCAATGACAGTAGATCAAAGATACCAGCCCTACGGAGAAGAACCCTTGGAGGAGGTGACAGACTCACTGCTGAGAAAGATTTTGAGCTTCTGAAGTAGTCAGGCCCCTCCAAGTACACCAGCAGGAAATGACCTAGGATTGGGCTATCAGAGCTGGAAGGGACCGTGGTTTATTTTGTCACCTTGAAGGTGAAGACCCTCAGGCCACCCAGGCTGCAGCAGTGGGGAGCCCCAACGCCCCGGGGCTCATCTCTGTGGACGATCTTTAGGAAGGCTGGTGCTGGGTAACATGTGAGGCTCCGAACACTGGTGTTGGTCTTGAACACATCCTTCTAGTGATCTTCTAGTGCCATCTTTTCTGATGAGTGTGACACGTCCCCAGGTGACTTCAGCCTGGGAACTTCCCTGCCATTATGCTGGGCTTCTCCTGGTACCAGGCTCTGATCAATCTTACCGCCTCAAAGCCCCCCAGGGCCCAGTGACCAAATTCCTAAGTCTACTTTTGGGGCCTGGTCTTGATGATCAGTCTATTGTAGTGTAATAGCAAAAACTCAGCCTTGGAACTGGGTTCAAATCCCAGCTGTCACTTAGCAACTGTGTGAAAATAAACACACCGTATAGCCTTTCTGTCAAAGGTTGGATATAAGACAAAGTGACTGTGGTTGATTCAAAGGAATGGAGGGATGGGATCTGTCTGCACACATGGCACCCGCACACATCAGGCCTCATTAAATATTAGTTCCCATGCTTCTTCTTAAACCTAGGGATCTAGTGATAAATGATATATAAGGAACAAGACAGAAAGTCCAGAAATAAACCCATGCACTAATGGTCAGTTAATCTATGACATAGGAGGCAAGAATATACAGTGGAGAAAAGACAGCCCCTTCAATAAATGGTGCTGGGAAAGCTGACAGCTACATGTAAAGGAATGAAGTTAGAACATTCTCTAACACCATATACAAAAATAAACTCCAAATGGATGAAAGACATAAATGTAAGTCTGGACACTATAAAACTACTAGAGGAAAACACAGGCAGAACACTCTTTGACATTAATCTCAGCAGTATTTTTCTTGGATCCATCTCCTACAGTAATGGAAATAAAAGCAGAAGCAAACAAATGGGACCTAATCAAACGTAATAGCTTTTGCACAGCAAAGGAAACCATCAACAAAATGAAAAGACAACCTATTAAACGAGAGAAAATATTTGCAAATGATGTGACCGACAAGGAGTTAATATCCAAAATACACAAACAGCTCATACAGCTCAATATCAAAAACACAAATAAGCCATTCAAAAATGGGCAGAAGACCTAAACAGACATCTCTCCAAAGAAGACATCCAGGTGGCCAACAGGCACATGGAAGATGCTCAACATCGATAATTATTAGAAAAATGCAAATTAAAACTACAATGAGGTATCACCTCACACTGGTCAGACTGGCCATCATCAGAAAGTCCACAAATAGTAGATACTGGAAAGGGCGTGGAGAAAAGGGAACCCTCCTCCACTGTTGGTGGGAATGTAGATTGGTGCAGCCATTATAGAGAACAGTATGGAGGTTTCTTAAAAACTAAAAATAGACTTACCATATGATCCAGCAATCCCACTCCTGGGCATATACTCAGAAAAGACAAAAATTCTAATTCGAGAAGATACACGCACCCCAATGTTCATAGTGGCATCATTTATAATAGCCAAGATACGGAAGCAACCTAAGTGTCCATCAACAGATGACTGGATAAAGATGTGGTATATATACATATACACACAAACAACGGACTATGACTCAGCTGCAAAAAAAAAAACCAAAGTTCTGCCATTTTCAGCAATATGGACGGACCTAGAGACTATCATACTAAGTGAAGTCAGACAAAGACAAGTATCATATATCACTTATATGTGGAATCAAAAAAAAAAAGATACAAATGAACTTTTTTACAAAACAGAAATAAACTCAATGACACAGAAAAGAAACTTACGGTTACCCAGGGGGAAGAGGGAGGGATAAATTAGGAGTTTGGGATTAACAGACACACACTACTATATACAAAATAGATAAACAAAGACCTTGTAATAACCTATAATGGTAAAGAATCTGAAAAAGAATATATATATATGTATATACATATATATACACACACGTGCATACATATATGTATAACTGAATCACTTTGTTATACACCAGACACTAACACAACATTGTAAATCAACTATTCAATTAAAAAAATTTAAAAAGTGAAAACCCCTAGGGATGTTGAGTGTACAGATAGTGTTAAGACTATAAAATCCCTAAATGCAGGAACTCTCTCCTATATTCTGCCCAGTGCAAGGCAATTTGTAAAGCTTTAATTCCCTCAGTGAGAAAGCAAACAGGTCATTAGGGTGCAAGGTCTTTATCTTCTTTATGCTTATCTTTTCTCATTCTCTTTCAGCTCATTTCCTTAGTCACCCGTTTTCACATGGCCTTCCACAGATCGACTAGGACCAGAATGTGACCCAGAATCAAGACCCAACATGCTGGTTTCACTGGTTTGGAAGCAGTTTTAATGGAGATGGAAATGTTTATCAACTTAACACAGGTACCCCAAAAATACAAAGCAAAATATCATCTTCAGCTGCATAGCAAATATGATTTAAGAATTTAACAACATTATCTGATCACAAGCGTAAATATAAGTCACCATAAATAAATGTAGATTCATTGTACAAAAATCTCCCACAACTCTTAATACAAATATGGTACATTTGACAGTTTCTGAAACATTTATTTTTAACTTTTTAAAACCTAAGATTTTTTTTTTCCTGGTTCTTAGATACACAAAAAATCAAAAGGGGGCAGTAACACCAGGAAGGAGAGAATGTTAAACCTGTTCGGTGTTCATAAATGCTGCTGGTGAGCCAGGGAAATGAAATGTCTCTCCTGAAGGCGAAGACCTCAATTTACTGGGATCAAATCTTTTGAGGATAATGGGATTCTACCCAGAGGGTCAAATTCAGGGTGGGAGGGGCGGGTGGTTGAAATAGCAATCTCATCAAATGGACGATCCAAATCTCCATAAAGCAGTGGTCAAGGGTTTGGAACGATCTCCAGGACCTAACAGCCAGTCATCTATCTGAAAGCATGAGCCAGGGACTGTCCCCAGACAGGACTGAAGGCTCCGGAGCTTAGAAATGTCCTGTGGTCTTTGACCGTGGGTTTTATTGTGTAGTTCTCCCTTGTGGTATAACAACTCGCTTTTGCCTCTGGGACTCATCTATGATCATCAAGAGGGAAAAATGAGAAATCAGAACAGGACGTGACAGCTCCAGACAGGAGGGCCCAACAGCTTCCACCCTGACCCACTTTCCTGCCCTACAGGTGTCTCTTCCTGGCTCAGAGGGAGCTCAAAGCCCAGGGTAAGCAGTGCTGGGGGCACTCTGCAGCATGGTCCTCAGACTTCCACGGGCAGCACAATTCAGCTTGTGGGAAGTGCAGATTTCTCAATCCTGCTCCCAAAGTTGCAGAATTAGTGGGTTTCGGGTGGGGCCCAGGAACCTGCATCACAGGTAACAACCTCAGGAGGTCCTGATGGAGGTGGCCTTTGGACCACACTTGGCGAGCCCCACCTCTCCCCTCTCTGGAGAGCGTGAGTGTATCACACAAACCTCTTGCTACGGACACGTCTTTGCTCTTGCCATACGGTTGAAATGGGCCATCTGGTTAATGGTAATCATTCCCATTCTTCTGCCCTGAGGGAGAGGATCATTATCCTTCTATTTTCTCTCCTTTCCTTCCTGGGCTGAGGGAGAAATCAAATGTCTCACTTTATATGTTCTTACAAGCTCAGGCTCACAGATGCCCTTTGATGGTGAGGCTCTGCAATGAGACATTCACTTCCCAAAGGCTTCCATCCTTCTACACAGTCTCCCCATTTCTTGGGGGGAGATTCTGCAAGGAATTTTGGTTCAGTTTGAGAAATGGAAGTAGACATGTCCCTGTGACATATGTCCCACCCCTCAAAATCTAAGTTAAGGAACATTGAGTTGAGAGTAAAAGATAAAATGTCTCCAGAATCTTTCAGCTTCTTGGACACTGAAAGTCCTGTTCACTAAACCAGGACTCCTCTTAGAGGCGTATTTTAGAATTAAAAGCACACTGACAAGTATTATTTATACTCCTTACCTCCCTGACCCCAAGATGTTTCTAGCTTCTGTTAAAATAACTCCTTAATGTAGTCTTTCTTGTGAGGGTCTTCCTTGATGAGAGAGTCTGTGCCAAGAAGTAGCCCCTAATTTGGCTGCTGGCTAATGCTGTGGGCAGTGCATGCCTGGCCTGTTCAAAGCTGGAGCCCCAGTGACTCAGTGCTAAGTACTCGCTCAGTGAATAGAGGACCCAGTCTCCACCAAGCTGATGAGATGGCCTGAGAGCCTTCTGTTTAGGCCTGTGGAATTCCTGGCTGGGTTCATAAATACTACTTCCATCCAGAGGGCCTAACCGTGCTCCTAATCCCATTCCACACTAATTAGTGGGATTCAGCTGTGAATGCATTTCTGAATGCTCTCTAGGAATATCCTGAGAGGGGAGTTAGGACACGGTTTGGGGAGCCCATGGAAGACCAGAGGCAACCCACGACCCCATCTACCACAGTGCTGATACCGGGTCCTCGCCTCCCGTTCACCACGGCTCTCAGTGCATGGTCCAGGAGTGCTCGCGGTGGTGGACTCCCTGGCATCCAGAGTAGGAGAGGGTGCCATCTTGGGAAGTTGGGGGAGGGAGCCAGAGGAGGTGAAGACGCTAGTAAGGGGGGCATGCCCATCAGGCCAGGCTGACGTCCCGGGGCATGGCCACACTCTGCTCTCCACCTCTAAGGCTTCAGTCCTGGGGTTGCGCTGGGCATTGGGTAGGAGGTCACCATTTAGGAAGGAGGTCCTGGAAAGCAACCACAGATGTGGGGAACCACGAGATTAAGGGTGAAACTAGGGCTCTTAACACAGTTGAGGGGAAAAAAGAAAAAAAAGCACATATTGCCCTGTTTCTTTCCTTTTTTTTTTTCATGTACACTATGGAGGAACCACCATGGAGATGTGATGGGAGAGCATGCAGGCCCAGCCCTTGGGAGGTGCAGATGTGTCTGGGGAGGCTCTCATTTGCTTCTGGGTCCATCCCACATGCTGTCCAGCCAGACCCTGTCACAGGCTGGCCATGGCTTTCTCTCTCCTGCTTCTCCTCCTCCTCCAGGCCGAGGGGTTTGCAGGACTTCCCGCCTAGCAGGTGGTGGCCAGCGACTGGTGGATGGGCGGCTGAAAGCAGCGCACGTGCTCCACGGTGGAACTGTCTGTCTCCACAGACTTCATGTACTTATTCAGGATGGCAAAAACCTCATTGTTCAGGATCTGGTACTTCCTGATCCTGTCTGCCATCTTCTTCAGGGGCTGCAGAAGGACAGGGGCATGCGGGTTAGGGGTGGGAGGAGGGGACAGAGAAATCAAGAGTAAGGGAAGAATTCAGCTGAGGGTGGGATCCAGGGTCCTGATGCGTCAACGATCATGTCATTTTCTTGTCAAGGCCTTCTATGGGTGCCCAGAGATTGGCAATGAAATGTGAACTTGATCATAAAACCCTTTGAGTTTCAGAACTTACCACAAAGCTGCAGTAATCAAAATAGTGTGGTTTAAGCATGAAGACAAGACATATGGACCAATGGAATACTGGGTCCAGAAATAAACCCTTTCCTTTTATGGTCAAATGATTTTCGACAAGGGTGCCCACAACATTCCATGGAGAAAGGATGGTCTTTTCAACAAATGATGCTGGGAAAACTGGATATCCACATGCAAAGAATGAAGTTGGATTCTTACCTTATACCACACACAAAACATTAGCTCAAAATGGATTAAAAATCTAAACATAAGAGCACAAACCATAAAACTTTTAGAAGAAACAGAGGAAAAACTTTATGCCGTTGAGTTTGGCAATGACCTCTTGGATATGACACCAAAAGCACAGGTAATAAAATAAAGAATAAATTGGACTACATCAAAATTTAAAACTTGTTTGCATCAGAGAATACTGTCAACAGAGTGAAAAGGCAACCCCTGGAACAAAAGAAAACATTTTCAAATCAGGCATCTGGTAAGGCATTAGTATTCAGAATGTGGAAACAACTCCTGCAACTCAGCAACGGCAAAAAGACCAAATAAGCCAACTAGAAAGTGAGCGAAACACCTGAACAGACATTTCTCCAAAGAACATAAACAAATAGCCAAAAAGCACACGAGAAGATGCTAATATCACTAAATTGTTAAGGAAACGTGAATCAAAACCACAATGGGACACCACTTCACATACATTCAGACGGCTATTTCCAAAAATATCCAGAGAATAACATATATTGGGGAGGATATAGAGAAACTGAACTCTTGTGCCTTGCTGGCTGGAATGTAAAATGGTGCAGCCACTACGGAAAACAGTATGGCGGTCCTCAAAAATTAAAAATAGAATTACCGTACGATCCAGCAATGCCAATTTTAGGTAGATACCCAAGAGCAAAGAAAGCAGGGTATTGAACAGTTATTTGTACACTCACGATCACAGCAGTATTGTTTACAACAGCCAAAGTGTGGGAGCAACTCAAGTGTCCACTGACAAACGAATGGATAAACACAACGTGGTGTATCCATACAATGAAATATTATTCAGCCTTTAAAGGAAAGCAATTCTGACACACACTATATGGTGAGCCTTAAACACATTATGCTGAGTGAAGATTCACTTATATGAAGTGCCCAGAGCAGTCAAATTTACCAAGACAGAAAGTGGAAGGGTGGGGAGGCTGGGGAGGGGGAGGTAAAAGGGGGAGTTACTGTTTACTGGGCACAGAGTTCCAGTTGGGGAGGATGAAAAGTCCTAGAGATGGTGGTGGTGAGTATATTTAATGCATTAAACACTTAAAAACAGTTAAACTCTATTGAAATGCACACTTAAAAATCATTAAAATAGCGAACTTCAATGTATGTATATTTACCACGATGGAAAAAAAATCTCTTGAGGAGGCTCCTGCCTCCTTTTCCTCTCGGCTGGTCCTGGAGACTCTCGCTTTGTTCCAGCCACACATCTTCATGCCTCTGTGCCTTCGCTCCAGCTGTTCCCTCTGTCTGGGGCACCCTCCCCATACTGCACCCCACTTTCTGCCTGGCTGTCTGCTGCTGGTCATTCTGGACTTCACCCAAGCATCGCCTCGATGGGAAGCCCCCCGAGACCCCTCGGCAGCCCCTCAGCCCGGTTATACGGCCCTTCCTGATGCTCCCACTGCAGCCCTGCTCGCCCCCATCCCCGCGTCTGCGCAACTTTCATGTTCAGTAAAAGTTTGGGCAGATGACAAACCAGCATCAGCAGAGTCTGACTGGCAGAAGGAAGGTGTGTTTCAGGTCGGGAGCCTGGCCCTGCCCAGCTGGGGTGACCTGATTCATCCCAGTGGGTTACGAGCAAGTGACTCATGGGTTCCTACGAGAAGGTCGCAGCCGCTGAGTGTCTGTGAACCTCCCTGCCGTGTGGGGAGTTGGCCTCCATAAACAGCTCACCCTCCGCTGCAGACGAAAGTCTGCTGGTCAGGCCTGCCCCGTCTCCCAGGCCCCAGCCACGAGCCGCTTACCACATTCTTAATGATTTCGTCCTTCCCGTCCTGCCTCTGTACTTTCAGCAGGTGATAACAGAAGTCGAACAGGTCGAAGCGACGCTGCTGGCCCAGCAGGACGATGATGGAGCAGCCGGCCCAGTTCAAGCCATCTCCAAAACACTGCCTGGGAGCGGGAGAGGAAGCAGCTGGAGTGAGACGCAGGGGAGGAAGAGGGGAGGGCCCTCATCTTGGGCCAGCAGTACAGCTAGTGAGCCGGCCCGTCTCTGGACCAACTCTGTTAATCTGTAGAATGGGTACAAGGGAAGCTGTAAGTGTGGATTCGTTTCTTCCAGGGACTGTGGTTAAGCCCTTTTAAGCACAAAGAGCTGTCAGTCTGTCAGCCCACTCGGGTATGAAAAATCAGTTTTGAAGATGACAACTTTGCAAGAAAAAATATCCAACCAGCCTTTGGAGATTTATCTGGCCGATGAGAATTCTGATGAGAATCTGCTTTGGCTCTGGAAAGGAACCAGAGGGCCACCTGTGAGGGTAAGGGCACTTCAGCAAATGGGTAACGCTCAGCCTGCATGCCCCTAATCTCAACAGCAATCTGGGTGATTTAGGAGGCGGTGGGGCATCTCTCACTGGCTTTCCTGTCCCCAGGAGCTGCAGCCCACTGGGAACGTTTCACTGCCCTCCCCCCCCCATTTCTGAGGCTGAAAGTACAGCTGCTCTGGAAACAGCCTTTCCAACCCACTCCCCACACCACTTCCTCTGGGACGCCTCTCTGGCCCCGACGTGCATTTCCTCTGGAGCTCTTGGCTCCTGGAGGACAGGTCTTGTCTGCCCTCTGCACCACTCTGTTTTTGCTGTGTAGCTGGGTGAATGATGGGAGAAGGGAGTCCCGCCTCTGTGTTCTCTGAGGACAGGACTGGGTTCCTCTCAAGGGCCCTCAGAGGCCTCACAAGCAAGGTAGGGCCTGGCTTCTGCCAGGGAATCCTTTCTCTTATCTAGAACCCCCGGACTTCTATCGGGGTGAGTGGGCAATGAGGCTTTAGTGCCAAACTCTCACCAGGGCTCCCGCCTGCCCCCTCCATCAGCCCAGCGTCCAGTCTCGAGAAGATAGCTCCTGGGAGACGTCTGAGGTCCTGATGTGCACGCTCTCACACACCACCTGGAGCCTTTCCTGGGAGGTCCCCTTTTCTGCTCTAAGAGCTGAATCCCAGGCAATGTTCAAGCTCAGCTCTAGCCTGAGTTGAACTCCTACACTCCACTCGTCTCCCTTCTGGGGCATCTCTCATCCTTCCTGCCCTCACTGCCAAGCAGCCCCATGCATTGCACCTTTTGTCTGTGTTCTTGTCTCCTCTCGGCCCACAAGCCCTATGGAGCCAGGAACCGCCTACTTTTGCTGGGCATGGGTGTTCGTCCGGCACCCAGCACCTAGACGGACACGCATATGCTCAGTACATCTTCGCTGGACAACCCACCCCCGCCCTCCCTTTTGGCTGAGCTCTGGCGGCCTGGTGGCTCCTGGGGGGATGGGCAGGTTAGGGGGCGGCCCCGCCTTCCTGGGGGTACGCACTCAGCCGTGAACTCGTTGGTCCCCACGGGGATGCAGTACACGAACTGCATGGCGCTCCAAAGCCGGTGGAACTCCACGCACTCGTCCACATGCATGACGCCGTTGGTGGGCGGCGGGCCCCGCCAGATGGGGTCCTGCAGGTAGCTCCGGATGCGGGTCAGGATGACCTCGAACATGGACAGGCCGCAGCACAGCCGCTCCTTGGTCAGCAGGTCGCCCTCCCGAGCGATGGCGATTTGCTGGGAATGGGAAGGTACATAAACCTCTAGTCTCACCTGAGATCCCGTCCTCCACCTCTCACCCGAGATCCCCAAACCCTGGCGCCAGCTGCCTCTGGAATTCATTCACCGGAACTGATATCTTGTCCAGAGGTGGGCACTGATTTTATAAACCTGAGTGCCATCACAGGGAAGTCTTGTAGTAAGTAAAATCTTAGGCACCGTCGATAGAGGAATAGTTAAAAAAAAAAATTGAATCTACCCATATAATGACATGCTAGGTAGCCTTTGAAAAGACTGAGATGATTCTATAGCTAGTATTACTACTACTACTGTACTATTACTACTACCAGTGCACACTCAGTGTGTGTGTAACACACCAGGCCCTGTTCTGTGCATCTGATTAAGTATTGACTTCATTTATTCCTCACACAAACCCTATGAAGTAGGCGTCATCATTATCCCTATTTTACAGATGAAGAAACTGAGGTTCAGACAGGCAGCCAGTAAGGGGAAAGCTAGGATTTGAACGCTGGTGGTCTAGTTCTGTGGGTTAAATTGGTATGTGAATAGAGCACGTTGCAGAAAAGGACATACACTACAATCCTATTAAAAGACATCAACAGCATACAATCCCGCAGACAGACACACAAAACTATACATGGGGTGGGTGAGAGTGTAAAACATTTAGGAGGATTAACGTCAGTTGTGGGAACAGATGGGCTTGAAGAAGCAGCTGGGATTTTCACTTTCTACTATAAATGCGTCTGTACAGTTGAATGTGCTACAATGAGCATATGTTACTCCTAAAAATTTGCCAGTGATTTTACAGAATTATTTCCTCCAATTAGAAGTCCTCAAAAAGACACCAGCACCCCAATGTTCACAGCAGCACTATTGACAATAGCCAAGACATGGAAACAGCCTAAATGTCCATCAACAGATGACTGGATAAAGAAGATGTGTTATATTTATACAATGGAATACTATTCGGCCATAAAAATGACAACATAATGCCATTTGCAGCAACATGGATGTCCCTGGAGAATGTTATTATAAGTGAAATAAGCCAGAAAGAGAAAGAAAAATACCATATGGTATCACTCATATGTGGAATCTAAAAAAAAAAGATGACAAATGAACTTGAATATAAAACAGAAACAGACTCATAGACATAGAATACTAACTTGTGGTTGCCGGGGGGAAGGGGGTGGAAAGGGACAAACTGGAAGTTCGAAATCTGTAGATGCTGACAGGTATATGTGGAATAGACAGACAAGATTATACTGTAAAGCACAGGGAAATATATACAAGATCTTGTGGTAGCTCATGGTGAAAATGAATATATGTATGTTCATGTATGACTGAAAAATTGTGCTCTACACCGGAAATTGACATAACATTGTAAACTGACTGTAACTCAAAAAAAAAAAAAGTCCTCTCACCATGGTTAACAATCTGTATTAATCATTTAAACTGGCCTCTCATCTGGCTTCTGGTTACTGCATCTCTAATAAGCAGCTGGCTAGACTTGCACAATACCGACCGCTTTATGAGTGAAAATACCTAGGGGCAGAGGTCTCAAAAGCCATGTGCAAAGTTAGATATCAAAATCCAAGGTCAAAGTAAGTTCTCCAAATCTACGGACAGAGCTAGAGTGCTGGCTTCTGAGACCGAGAGGCCCACAGGGCACCCGTGGGGTCTGCTCCCCAGAGAGCTCACTGTACAGGGTGGCTGGGAGTGGGGGGCACGTTGCCTGACTCCTCCATGTATGCACCCACCCTATTGCCCCCAGAAACAGGGCTGCCTCCACTGAATTAATCCACGCAGGGAACTAAGTCAGGAAACACCAATGCTGGAGCCTGATAGGGATGTGGTCCAGAGGGGTGGTGTCATGACAACCATAAACGGATCAGCAGTCTAGGACGAAAAATATGAATTGGGGAAGAAGAGTTTGATGTGTGCTTTGGAGAGGGAACCCTGATTCTGGAGACTCAACTTGATTCTGGTGGCAGAGAAAGATGGCTCCAGAGCAGAGAAGCTGCCACAGTTAGCTAGAAATTACCTCTGACCCAGTGCCTGATTCTGCTCTCACCAGGCACCGTTCTGTGGTGGTGTCTGGACCCCGACAGGGCTCTCCACTGCAGAAGGCGTGCCTGGTCCAGCAAAGATGCTCAGTAAATAAAGAACCCACGTTTCTTCTTGGGCCATGAATATTCTCCTTCATAAACCAATATAGATAGAGAGTTCTGGTTTACTGGTTAATCTCCTGTGCATTTAGTCTGAATCAGCCCACAGAGCATGACAATTGTGGGAGGATCTAAAGAGTTAGCAAGCGGGTTTAAAAATCTGCAATCAGACTCTAAACTCCAGTGACCCCCCAAACTACAGCCAACGAAAGGCCCCTGACCGAAATGGTTAGGGGTTTTTGACCCTCTCCTGGAAAAGTGTTTACCTTTATGAGTTTTCCAACAAACTATAAAAGTAAAATTTGGGAAAAAAAATCGTAAAAATGTTACAAGAAAATAAAAATCTCCTATAAATTCCATTACCCAGAAGTGAGCTTTCTTAAAACACTGGTGCATGATTTGTTTGTGCTTATGTATGTGAGTGTGTGTTTGTACCTATTTTAACAAAATTCGGGTCATGCTATCTATTATATTGTCTTTTTCTCTTAAGATACTAGTACTATTAAAAAAGCCACTTCCTTCAGTATCTTCAGTAACATGGTATTTTAATGGCTATGAAAATGGCGGTTGATATGATGTTATTCTTTTAATTCTCTACTTTTGTTGGTTATTTTATATTGTTCACAAGTTTTCATCATTATAGACAATTCTTAAGCAATTATCTTACATATTACACGTTCTGAGTTCATCTCTGGTTATTTTCTTAGGATAAAAATCCTAGAAATAGAACTATTCACTCACAAAGGGTATAAATAGTTTTAAAAGGCTTTTGCTACATACACAGTGGCAGACTAAGTCCCAGGAAAGCTTGAGCCACTGCATACCCATCTTTTATGCTCTTTCTTATTTCATGAATCACTGGCAGAACACTTTTTATGTTTGTTTTGTGTGTGTTGGCATTTATATTTTTTTATATTGTGAGTTTTCTTCTGTGTCCTTTTTTCTTTCGATATGACTTTCTTTTTGCTCTGAAAAAGTGCATCAAAGATCATTGCATATACCCCCACTCTGTGGCATGGTGCTATATACACATGGTGTGTGTTTAACATACATTTAATCCATTCCTTTCCTAGTCCACTCAGTGGGGGATTTTTTTTTCCCCTGTCTCTTTCTGCCATTCTTTTCTGAGTTAACCAGGGTATAGAAAAAGCATCTGTGAAACCATGTGGACAGAGATTTCTGCATGGAGTACTCTGATTATATTTAGCATACTTTGGAGAAGAATGGTATCTCCACACTCGTTCTTCATATAATCTTTGCTTTTTTGAATTTTTAAAACTCATTTGTGTATCATTAACAATCATGAAAGGCAGCTCAGCCAAGGAAGCAAAACAGCTATTTGCCCATTTTATAGACGGGAAAACAAAGGCCGGAGCATTTAATGTCTAGCACTAGATTATGTAATCACTAAGGGTAAAGCTGGGAAAAGGAGCCCTGTGACTCCCTGACAGAACGTTCTCTCCATGAAAGCACTGGGCAACAAATCAGGTCACCCCAATTTGTCCCAGAAACAATGCCAGCAGTGCAATACAGTTAAACCCACCCAACTTTCAGTATGCAGCAGAATTTCCCTGTCACTGACCTAGATGTTACGTGAGTTCCCTGAACCCCAGCTAGCTTGGAAGTTAACAATTTGATAATTTATCTTTGCTCTACAGGAGGACTAAGTTTCGGACTATTCCTTGAGGGCTGGGAGACTTACAAACCTGGCATTTCCTTTCCGGCAGAACGTCTAGGCTTTCGTTTGTTAAATATCAACATCTCACAAACTGAGATTTCTGTCAGTCCCGAGAAGATGGTGTTCACCAGAACAGGGAAGGAATTCACAGACTTCTAAGTGGAAACACATGCCAAACCCTGGGTGCGAGAGGCCAGATTCTTGTAGGATGACACCAACAGCGGAGCAGACACATTTATATGTCGCTGGCTTGGGGGATTTCTCCCTAAAAAGGCAATCTTTAGAGGACCTCCTGGGTTCAGCCCCCGAAGGCCAGAACAGAACTGTGCATATTCCGCAGCACCCAAATTCTCTCTGCGGTGACTGAAGAACCCAAATGCTGCTAAACACTTAGTCACTGGTCTCAGTAGGAGGTGGGTGGCCCACAGGGGGTCCGGCAGGGGCTGCTCACCAGCCTGACACCCGGGTAGCCGGGGCTCTGCAGCACGCCCCAGCGCCGGCCATGGTTTCTGAGAGAGGAGGCTGCCTTCTGCCCTCTGCAGAGGACACCAATCTCTTTGACTCATAAGCTTCTGAGCTAACAGGAGAGAGGGCCTTAGGGTTGCAAGCCCAAGAGAGGATTCGGAATCCTAAACCTTTTAAACAGTCAGCTCTGGCAAACAAAACAAGCCACCCCGGCTGGTCTCACTACTGTGCCCTGTTTCTCTTCTTCCTGAATTACTCCCCTGACCACACCACCCCCAAATGTGCCGTTTGCTTGAATCAACTCGAAGGGAGACAGCACATGCTTTTTTTCTATTGAGTCAGCCCTCTACTGATTGACATTTAGGTTGTTTCCAGTTTTTGCTTTAACAAACAAGGCTATGGCAAACATCTTGTATTCCTGTAAATATATTTTTTTAGCAAAGATACCCACAGGTGAACTGCTGGCTCACAGGATGTGTGGTTTTAACTCAGAGATAACTTAGCAGAATTCTTGACACCTAACAGGAGATAATAGAGACTTGCTGCCTTCCTCCTTCCTTGGCAGGACAGATGATACAGAGTGCAGGCCTGAGAGTCAGCAAACCTCATTCCAGACCCGCCCCTACTACTAACAGGCTGCGCGGTGTTAGAATTTCCCCTTCTGAGCCTCAGTTTCCCCATATGTAAAATGAAGGGGTTGGATCAAATGCTCTCCCTCTAAAGCTCCTTTTGGTTCTCTGGGTCCATGAGAGTGGGACTGTACCTGAGGGGTCCCCAGCCGCTCTATCAGAGGGACCAGGTGAAGCGGGGCGTACTTGGCTTCCAGGCGTTTCATTCGGACCTCCAGCCGCTCCCCCTCTGCACAAAGAGCAGTAAGCAGAAAATGAGATTCAGGGCACACGGGGGAAACGGAGAAGGAAGAGCTCTCAGAGGACCTGCTGGATTACTTATACTCCAGCACTTGGATGGAGCATGGAGAACGGGTCTCCTTCTGGCAAGTGTGATCAGGACTTACTACAAGGAAAAATGTTTTATCTTTGTCCAACAATGGAATCACCTACCTCGTGGGGTGGTGAGTTTCTCATCATTTGAAGGATTTAGACCGAACTACACAGCAACATAATAGGGATGATCTAGAAGGACCAAGGAAACAAGCCTGGAGCATCATTTCCAACTCTACCATTCTATGACTATTCAACGGCTGCCTAAAGCCGTAACCAGCTCTCTTTCTGACTGCAGATCTGCGTTTATTGGGGTTAAGTGAGCATGAGGTTCAAATTCAAGCTGGCTCTTCAGCAGCTGCCAATGGTTTCTTACCTTTGATGTAGACTCTAGGCAAGATGTTCTGGAAGGGTGCAGCGTGGAGCAAATCACAGACTTCTTCCTGAGACTGCAAACAGAGAGAGAGGGAAAGAAAGAAAAAAACATTTTATTTTCAACAAGGATTTTCATTACAAAAAAACTTGAGCACTGCAGTCAGCCAGACCTAGGTTCAAATCCTGGCTCTTTGACTTACTAGCTGTGGGATCTTAAGCAAATTGCATAACCCCTCTGAGTCTATTTATTTTTCTGCAAAATGGGGATAAGAACAGTTCCTATTTTCCTGGGTTGCTCTGAGGATTAAGTGAGAGAATATACAGCTTCATAGCATGGTTCCTGCACATAATGAGTGTGCAACATATTTCATTAACATTTCATAAGGAATTTGTTGAAGAATTCAAAGTGGCAGTGGGATCACATAGAGACAATGGACCCAGACCATGTCTGGTTGGTTGTGAGGCCTATGGACTCAAAGCAAGTGGCTGGGCCAAGCTCCCAATCCACTAACGTGGGATGACTCGGTATAAAGACCTGTGTCTGGCTGGTGTTCTCCATACCAGACTCCAACTAGTGGGAGAAGGGGAACTAGGTCCCAGACAGATAGGTTTTGATGGGGACTTGTCACGCATAAAAGTAAGCTTAGCAGCAAACATACACTAACTACAAAGGCTGGAGGAGAAAGTCTGGGGGAGGACAGTCTTGGAAGATACGGTCTGATGGGCTTCCTGTCCCAGGACCAGCTTATGATCATTGCATTTCAGAGCAAAGGGTGGGGAGGGGAACCTAGATGAGCCACTCTCCATGGGGCTCGGTTTTTCTTCTTTAAACTATGGGGATTTAGATGAGATAAGATACAGGCTTCATTCAACTCCAACACTCTTGGCATCTAAGCACCTGCGAAAATCAGGACTGTGCGTGCCGCTGGCTTTCTTTACCAGGCAGGGGTGGAACATGGCTGTGGAAATCTGGCAGGCCAGCTGCTCAAGAAAGAAACCTCCAAACTCCCTTCAGTCCTTGAAGTGAGGATAACAGAGGGAGGACAAGTGAACTCTGCAGAGGGACCTGCCTGATCTAAATAAGCATAATTCTCAGTTTCTCAGCCGAAGGGAAAATTTCCCCACTTTCTTAATTAATCAGTTTCTCCCCAAACCAGTGAATCAAGTAACCTGGTCGTCATTGCTATGTCTAAGCTTAGATCCTTCGATTCATCATGTAATCTGAAAAATTGGCTATTGATTATTCAGGCTATACTTAAATTCATTAATACAGTGAATTATACTGATTGGTTTTTGAATGATGAACCAGCCTTGCATTCCTGGGATAAGCGTCACTTGGCTGTGACGCATTATCCGTTTTATGTATTGTTGGGTTTTATGTGCTGATGTTCTGGTGAGGATTTTTACTCTATATTCATTAGGGACATTGATTTGCAGTTTTCTTTTCAAATATCTTTGGTGTTGGCATTAGGGTAATGATGACTTTGTAAGGTAAGTTGGGAAAAGTTCCCCCTCATTTCGGTTTTCTGGAAGAGATTGTGCAGAATTCGTATTATTTCTTCCTTAAATGTTTGGTAGAATTCATAAGTGAAACCATCTGCATCTTGAATTTTCTTTGTTGGTAGTCTTTTTTTTTTCTTTCCGAAATAAGTATACAATTTCTTTAGCAGACAGAGGACTATTCAGGTTATTGATTTATTTTCTTGAGTGAGTTTTGGGGGTTTTCATGTCTCAAGGACCTGGTTCCTTTCATCTAAGTTTAATTTTGGGGGCACAGAGTTGTTTGTAGCATGCCTTTATTACCTTTTTGATGTCTGTGAGATCTAAAGCAATTTCCCCATTTTATTCCCAATATTGGTCATTTGTGTCTTCTCTTTTTTCCTTGGTCAGTCTGGCTAGAGGTTTATCAATTTACTATTATTATTTTTCTTTGAAGAATCAGCCTTTAGTTTCACTGATATTTCCCTATAGGTTTTCTGCTTTCTTGATTACAGAATTCTGTTCTTATCTTTATTATGTCCATCCTTCTGCTTGCTTTGGGTTTAATTTGCTTTTCTTTCTCCAGTTTCTTACGGTGGAAGCCCAGATTAGTGACTGAACACCTTACTCTTTTTGAACATAGCATTCAGGCTATTCTTTGATATCTCCAGGAATCAAGAGCTCAGTACCCCCGGAGGCAGCCCAACCCATTTCTGAACAACTCTAATGGTTAGAAAGTTTGATTTTGTATTAAGCCAAGGCTGCAGCCCGGTCGTTTCCATTCAGGATCCTTGTTCTGCTCTCTGGGGGCATCACTGAATGTGTTTTTCTAGCCACTATCTCCAAGCCATCATTCCCATTTCTCTCCTCGTTTCAGGTCTGAGCACCTTACAAGAGCTTTCTACCATTCCCTCTCTCTCTACTTCCCAGTCTTTACTTCCCTCCACAGCAAACAGAAACATCATGCCTAGCTACATCACACCTCGGCAATGGCCCTGGCAAAGGTTGCCGAGGGCTGCCCTGTTACCAGGTTCAATGGATACCATTCAGGCATATCACGGCATCACTAACGTATAAGGTACTGTCCTCCCTCAGCTCCTATGACAGTGAGTTCTGCTGGTTTCCATCACTTTGGTTTCTCCTTTTTAGACTCTCCTGCAGGTCTGACTTCTAACCATCCTTTAAGTGTTGGTTTTCTCCAAGGTCCCACCTTGTTTCCTTTTTCTCCTCACTGTGTTCTACCTGGTTTGTCTCACCTACTCCCATGGCCACAAGCACTGCCTTTGATTCATCAACTCTGCATTCCCAGCCAGAACTTCTCTTTCAAGCTCTAGATCTGGATATCCAACTCCTTGCTGGATATTCCCACTTGGATATTCCACAGCTCAAACATTTCTAAAGCTGACTTTCCACTCCCCTTCTCATCTGAGGATCCTTTCTCCCAGAATGGCATAATCATCTCCTCATCTGCCCAAGCCTAAAGCCTGGGACTCATTTCCTCTCTCTTCTTCACATCCCATGACCAGTACGTCGTCATGTCTGATTCTCTCCACATTTCTCCACATTAACCACAATGCTATGAGCTCCTTCAGGGCAGGGAGGCTGCCTCTAATCTCCAGGGCCTAGGTCATAATAGTCTCTCAATAATTATTTATCCACGCATGAATACTTGTTATGCCATGTTTCTTAGATGAATAAATGAATTCATTTATCCACATGACTATCTTCCCAATGAGAATACTATTATATCCATTCATTCATCCAACAAATATTTATCAAGTACCAGGCACCGTGCTTTGGATTTGCAGATATGATGTTGAACAAGTCAGACTAGATTTTTGCACTCATGTAATTTACATTCTAGTTGGTATGGAGAGAGAAAACCAAATAAACAAATCAGAAAATTTCAGATAGTGATTAAGACACAATACGGTACTAGGCTAGAGAGTGACTGGGAGTGGGGAAGGGATTGCTTGAGAGAGGGTAGTTAGGGAAAATCTTTTTGAGGGGGACATATTTAAGTAGAGAATGGAATAAAGTGAAGGAGCCAGCCGTGCAGCTATGAGGTAAGAGCACGCCAGTGCAAAGGCCCTGGGGCAGAGAGTAAACTGCAGTATAGTGACGCAGGGAATCATAGTACAGTCCGAGGCCCTAGTGGCTGGGAGGGATCAGATCATGTGAGGCTCACAGACATGGTATGAAGCCTGGATTTTATTTTAAGCGCAATGAGGAATTACTGAAGTATTCCAAGCAGAGGATTGGTACACACAGCCCTACTGCCAAGTTTTCTTATCTTCTTGTTTTCTTTTCTTCCCAAAATTTCACTTACTCCTAGACATGTCTTCCTACTAGGAAAGTTGCCCCTTGCATGAACTGTCAACTTTCTGCTTTGTTAATGTACATAAAATTGACCTTAGGAGCCACCTTAGGGGATGGAGTAAGGGGAAGGAGGCTCTTGGCCCTCTACAACAAGACCCGTGCTGCTGCCTCATTCACTTCACATGATGAGCTTCTACCTCAGACTTCCCTGGGGGAGACAGAGTGTTCCACTGACCCTCCTCTGAACTCTCCCTGCTCTCGAGTTTGCAAAGGACCAGAGGTTCTTTGGTGGGGAGGGGGCGCCTGGTGGAGTGCTGCCTGTGTGTAATCTACCTTCTAATGCCATGTGTTAATGAAGATGAAGAGGCAAGGATGTGGTTTCCTCGTAGAGGTGGGAAGGCATTTGCCTGGAAGGTCCCTGAGGATGAGCTCCATGGCCATTTGCATGATGTGGTGGCCACATACTCAGCCACACCTTTCGTGGGAGGTGTTTGCTGGGCATTCATGAGCTGAGGCCACTGTGACAGATAACAATGTCCCATTCGGAGCACACAAAGGCCTCTGTCAGGGATGCGACCAGGCTTCGTTGTGGGCACTTATGCTAACACCTGACCCCCTTTTGTCTAATCTCTGTAAAGGATCGCCTTTGGCCTTCCACGCTGCTAGGAACCCCTCCCGCCCCTGGCCTGTGAAGGCCACCAGGAGTTGGTTTCTTCCCCACTCTTCCCCCCTTCTCCCCAGCTCTTTCTGCTCCAGACACAGCAGCTTTTTGTTATTTGAACGCACCGTCTGCATATTCACCACTGAATTTTGCCTTCTCTCTGGAATGTTCCCTAACCTGTCATTCCCCCATCCCCTTTGCTTAGTCAATCCCCACTCTTCCTCGAATCTCCATTCAAGCATCATTCCTTCCAGGGAGACTTCCTTGACGCTTCAACACCTCCCTGCTCGTGCAGGGTTCCTTTGCTGTTTCCTCTTTGCCTTTTCATCATTTGAACTCACTCTCTATTACATATGCCTGCATGTGCCTATTCGATTAATATCTATCTCCCCCTACTGGAATGTAACCATGAAGCCAGCGACAATGTTTATTTTTGATCATATTTCACGCCCAGGAGTAAGCACAGTGGGCATCTGGCACCTGCCAGGCACGAAGTATGTGGAATGGAAGCTGAGTGTCTGTGACAGGTACGGGAACTGAGACCTAGGGCAGAACCTCTCCTATTTTGGGTTTTCTTATATAGGCCGGACGCTTCCCCTTATCACTAAGGGAAGT